GTATGTATATATTTGGGTATGTATGTGATTAGTAGTTATGAATACAGCGTACATTTCGACATATCAATATCATATCATTTGATGGGCGCATGTAAAGCAAAACTGATATACCTGTTGTATGGGGCTTGACGCGCAATGGACTTTTGCTGACTGGTCAATATGAAATACAGTAAACTACTGGACAACTTATATCTGTAATTGGACCGGAGTGTTCGACCAAGAACCATCGCATCGGCTCAAATGCTTCAGTTGCCTATAGTCAGCTTCTGGTGGTCACGCTCGTGAAACAGAAACAACCAAGTAACCCCATCAACGATCCCCGAAAAATACACCCTGTGTAGCACATCTCACTACGCTGCCGTGACAGGGACATACAAGTTGAAGTAGTCCATGGCCCACAGCAAGACCATTTTTCTCATTTCATGGGGCTTTTGTAGGGCTAAGCTTACACGCTAATCTGTATACTGTCACAGATTAAGGCTAAGAAGAAGCAGAAGCAATACAAATTGGACACGATCATCAACCATGGGAAGGCCATGGGCGACTTCCACAGCAAGGCGCAGAAAACCACCAAGCTTATTGTGAAAGCCATTACCGACTACTTCAACTCGCAAGAGAAAGAGGCGCGCATCAAAGACGAGATCAAGGAACGCGCACGTATGTGCCAGTACTTACTTTATTCTCGTCTATGTGTGAGTATTTAACCTGCACGGATGGGTGTGAAGGGTGGCATGTAATGCATCTTTGTCTATCATTGGAGTACATATGTGTATTCTCCCGCCTCTACAACTCGTAAGATGAATAACCCCGCATCGAGGAAGAAATCACGAAACGCTTGCGCATGTGCCAAAATTTTATTCATTTGTAGTTGTGTGAATGACGGCTATGAACGGGTGGATGCAAGGGTGGTATATATATATATATATATATATGTATGTATGTAAGTATGTATGTATGTTTGTATGTATGTATGTGTGTGTATGTGTGTATGTATGTATATATGTGTGTATGTATGTATGTATATTATTATATTATATTATATTATATTATATATATATTATATTATATTATATATATATGTATATACATACATTTATATATATATATATATATATATATATACGAGTATGTAATCCTGGGTCGCTTCAACTCGTATGAGAAAGAATAGCACTTCAACGACGCGGTTATGAAACTCTTCGCATATGTGCTGAAGTTAAGCGCGTGTATACGTGTGGATATTAGCAGTACAAGTGTATATAAACAGTATATTCGTCCCTTGCTTGTGAGTGTGTGGAGCTAAACAGAGTCTGTGCATATAACTGCTCGTTCGATATATGCTTTCGAATCTATTTTCCATACATACCATTGACCCTCTCATTCCTATACCATCGTCAGGTATGCGCGCTCTGATGGAAGACAACGAGGCGGAGTATCGCAAACTCATTGACGAGAAAAAGGACAGTCGGTTGGCAGCGCTCCTCAACCAGACCGACAGCTACATGTCAACGTTAACTGATTTGGTGCAAGATCACCAGGTATAGCTATATCTGCAGTTTATGTTTTGTCCAATTAGTTTAGTACGTGACATATCCACCCAAACCGACTTGTAAGATCTTGGCAGGTATTCTGTATCTGCACATACAGTGTGCCAAAGTATCGGAACAGATTACCAAGTGTATCCTCATGACATTTTGGTTGTCACTATCTTTCTTGAATATCGTTTAGCGTTGCGATATGCCATTGTCGATTAGCAGGTACATGCACGGAGCATCATGGCTTTATTTGCTCTTGTGAATATCATATAGCCTTGCTATGTATCTCTGTAGATTAGCATGTGCATGTATGTGACGTTGCGGCAGTACACCTCTTTTGAGCTTGTGTATTTAGCATACTTTGCCCAATAGTGCATGATTTGTCGTCTAAGGATATCTGATGTGATGGTACTTGTATGTATGTTGTGCGCTATGTTGCCGGTTCTATATGTTGAATTCTCATACATAGTAGTTAATATTTATTTCTTACTTATATATCATATATTGTCCTTAACATTTGTTTTCTTACTTATATATCATATATCGTCCCACCCATTCACCCGTCCTTTCCAGGTCAAGGAAAGGGTGTCGCGTCGAGAGAGTGAGGCTCGTGCAGCTGGACTGACTACAAATAAAGACGACATCTACAAAGAGGAAGTGGAGGCCACCAAAGGCGGTACCGGGGGGTTTGGGCAGGACTCGTATATGGCTGTGGCGCACAAGGTCACCGAGCCAGTCCTGACAGTATGTGTGTGGGGTGTTTGTAACTACAGGGATATACAAATTGACTAGTGTTTATGTATTGTCGTGTTTCAGCGTTGCTTTTCGAGTACACTTCATTTGAATGTATGAGTTTGTATATAAGTATTTATACAGTTACATTCGTTTTTACGTATGTACCGTACTAAATACGTGTGTGCTACATTGATGATAAGTGCAAAGAATCCTGAAGCGATGGTGAAGGCTGTTCAAAATGTTGAAAACGTTCACAATTTTTTTTTGGGGCCATTGACATTGAATGCATCCACAACTAATGTTGCCCATGCTTTTTTTTAAATTTTATCAGATAGCAACCAATAGCTCATTCTATCCTGTTAAAATTTTCTCAACTAACAACCAAAATGCTTAACAATTTTTTTTTATCAACTCTTCAATCAGCAACCAAAAATGCTCGAGAACGGCCAACTCAAGCCGTATCAGCTGAAGGGTGTGGAGTGGATGGTGTCGCTATACAACAACAATCTCAATGGGATTCTGGCTGACGAAATGGGCCTCGGCAAAACTATTCAGACGATCGGACTGATCTCGTATCTTATTGGTGTGTCTGTTTTTATTGTGTTCCATTTGGTCATGTGCGTCAGCTGTTAGTTTCCAGTTATATATGTATTTTTTTAATATGTGTGTTAGTTTGAATATTTATATATATATATATATATATGTGTGTGTGTGTGTGTGTGTGTGTGTGTGTGTAACTTTTTCTGTATTATACAATAAACAATACAATTGGAAGGTTGATTTATCGTATTTGTTTATATATAGAACATTTATATACGGATAACATGCGTATTTGGGATTCCTGTTGAGCAAATTAACTATGTGCGGACAACGCGAACTCCACATCGCAGAGCATGTTTGGCACTACTATATATCACATTTGTGCCTTTAGATTGCACATACCTACATTTATTTTTGCTTGCGATACGACGCGTTAGTCAATATAATTTTTAGTTCAATGTACAACATACACCCTTACAAGTTTACAAATTGGAACTCTTCGAAACGACAGTACACACGTGCAAACTCGGAGAGCCGGGCCGCATTGCGCCGTTGTTGATTGTGTCCAATTGACGAAAGGTGCCAACACACATATTTACTTGTGTGTTGATGAATATGTAAGTATATGCCATACGCACATTCATACCAACCCACGTATATAACCGTACACGAATAACAAATCAAATTTCTCACTTACAAACTCACAGAGGCCAAGCGCGTGAATGGGCCGTACTTGGTAGCTGTCCCGTTGTCGACCTTGTCCAATTGGTGGAATGAGTTCAATAAATGGGTGCCCACCATGAAGGTGTTGCGATATAAAGGCGCGCGACAGGAGCGGAAGAATCTCAAGCCTCAAGTGCTGCAGGTGTGTTTCCCACCTCCCCCCTTGTTTCAAAGTATAATATTGTCGTTTGGGGTTTCTTTACCCTTATTCGGAATGAGAGAAAATAAGGATATACTTTTAAATACATTTGCGTGTCCGCCGTTAGTAACCAAGGGACATAGGTTGCAGTATGCATCCAAATAACCAATTGCCCTTAATATATACCAGTGTACTTCCTTGCGAACAGAGTCGCATTTTACTATTGTGCGTTTTATACAACCGACCCATAATACTCTCTTCCTAATGGTTCAATTATTTAAGTTAACTGACAGCTCTATAAAAACATCATTGCAGTGTCATTACAATGTGCTGTTGACCACGTACGACTTCGTCATGAAGGACAAGGCTACGCTTGGCAAGGTGAAGTGGACCTATCTGATCATGGACGAAGGCCACCGCATCAAGAACAGTGATTCTAAACTGGTCAAAGTGCTCAAGAATAGTTACCACAGTAAGTTTCTGTGCGTGTATAATATACGAATGGCCGTATTTATGTGTATATATCGGTATATATATATATATATATATATATATGTGTGTGTGTGTGTGTGCGTGCCCCCAAGGTTGTGCACGAGCAGCTAATGGATCATGGTATGACTATGTGTTATATGGTACATGCATGTCCAGATTACTTTAAGTTTGTGGAGAGCACTTATGCCACTACTAATGACTGGATCCAATTGAATTTTATATATATTCGGTGCAAAAGGTGATATGGATCATATTACGCAACTGGTTTGAGACTTATGTGGGTACTTTTTTAACCCGCATACACCGGTTCAAATTCCGAGGTCTAAAGACATTTGTACTGTATTATCATTCCCAGATGGCTTGTATGCTCTGTGCGGTATATTGCTGGCTGCCGATGCGCAAGAGTGCAATTCAGTCTGCGATGTACCTCACATACTCCTCAATATTCCTCACTTAGTCCTAATTCAATGCGAAAAGTTCTAATTTTCGGGTTTTATTTATCTATCTGTCCCTTTTTACAGTACCGCATCGGCTGCTATTGACTGGAACACCGCTGCAGAATTCTCTGCCTGAGTTGTGGGGTCTGATGAATTTCCTGCTGCCAACTATCTTTAATTCGGGTCAGAATTTCGATGACTGGTTCAATGAACCCATTTCGGCCACAGGCGACAAAGTCGGTAGGGCTATTTTATTGATTTGTATTTGCTAACTGTGTTATTTGTATCAAGTAGTGCCCGGTACGTGCTGTGTTCAAGAGGACATGACTCGAAGACGTGCTGAGTTACATTGTCTCCAAATAATTTTGTTGCATCTTCATCTGTGTACTCTCGAATCTCATATCTGTTCACTTTTGGTATATAACTTTAGCGTGTGGGGGTTCATTCGCGTTAATATAGTTGAATGCAAGTATCTAGTCTCAAATACCGAGACCGCGTTGCTACCAGTCTATAGACCGAGTATGTCCGCCACATAATTCGTTTTATATCGAGTCTTTCAGATATATATATATATATATATATATACATATATATATATATATATATATATTATATATATATATAGTATATATATGTATGTATGTATATATA